AGAGGTGACATGCGGTGAGGAGAGGTGACATGCGGTGAGGAGAGGTGACATGCAGTGAGGAGAGGTGACATGCAGTGAGGAGAGGTGACATGCGGTGAGGAGAGGTGACATGCGGTGAGGAGAGGTGACATGCGGTGAGGAGAGGTGACATGCGGTGAGGAGAGGTGACATGCAGTGAGGAGAGGTGACATGCGGTGAGGAGAGGTGACATGCGGTGAGGAGAGGTGACATGCGGTGAGGAGAGGTGACATGCGGTGAGGAGAGGTGACATGCGGTGAGGAGAGGTGACATGCGGTGAGGAGAGGTGACATGCGGTGAGGAGAGGTGACATGCAGTGAGGAGAGGTGACATGCAGTGAGGAGAGGTGACATGCAGTGAGGAGAGGTGACATGCGGTGAGGAGAGGTGACATGCAGTGAGGAGAGGTGACATGCAGTGAGGAGAGGTGACATGCAGTGAGGAGAGGTGACATGCAGTGAGGAGAGGTGACATGCAGTGAGGAGAGGTGACATGCAGTGAGGAGAGGTGACATGCGGTGAGGAGAGGTGACATGCGGTGAGGAGAGGTGACATGCAGTGAGGAGAGGTGACATGCGGTGAGGAGAGGTGACATGCGGTGAGGAGAGGTGACATGCAGTGAGGAGAGGTGACATGCGGTGAGGAGAGGTGACATGCGGTGAGGAGAGGTGACATGCGGTGAGGAGAGGTGACATGCAGTGAGGAGAGGTGACATGCAGTGAGGAGAGGTGACATGCAGTGAGGAGAGGTGACATGCGGTGAGGAGAGGAGACATGCAGTGAGGAGAGGTGACATGCAGTGAGGAGAGGTGACATGCGGTGAGGAGAGGTGACATGCGGTGAGGAGAGGTGACATGCGGTGAGGAGAGGTGACATGCGGTGAGGAGAGGTGACATGCGGTGAGGAGAGGTGACATGCGGTGAGGAGAGGTGACATGCGGTGAGGAGAGGTGACATGCAGTGAGGAGAGGTGACATGCAGTGAGGAGAGGTGACATGCAGTGAGGAGAGGTGACATGCGGTGAGGAGAGGTGACATGCAGTGAGGAGAGGTGACATGCAGTGAGGAGAGGTGACATGCAGTGAGGAGAGGTGACATGCAGTGAGGAGAGGTGACATGCGGTGAGGAGAGGTGACATGCAGTGAGGAGAGGTGACATGCAGTGAGGAGAGGTGACATGCAGTGAGGAGAGGTGACATGCGGTGAGGAGAGGTGACATGCAGTGAGGAGAGGTGACATGCAGTGAGGAGAGGTGACATGCAGTGAGGAGAGGTGACATGCAGTGAGGAGAGGTGACATGCGGTGAGGAGAGGTGACATGCGGTGAGGAGAGGTGACATGCAGTGAGGAGAGGTGACATGCAGTGAGGAGAGGTGACATGCAGTGAGGAGAGGTGACATGCAGTGAGGAGAGGTGATATGCGGTGAGGAGAGGTGACATGCGGTGAGGAGAGGTGACATGCAGTGAGGAGAGGTGACATGCGGTGAGGAGAGGTGACATGCGGTGAGGAGAGGTGACATGCGGTGAGGAGAGGTGACATGCGGTGAGGAGAGGTGACATGCGGTGAGGAGAGGTGACATGCGGTGAGGAGAGGTGACATGCGGTGAGGAGAGGTGACATGCAGTGAGGAGAGGTGACATGCAGTGAGGAGAGGTGACATGCAGTGAGGAGAGGTGACATGCGGTGAGGAGAGGTGACATGCAGTGAGGAGAGGTGACATGCAGTGAGGAGAGGTGACATGCAGTGAGGAGAGGTGACATGCAGTGAGGAGAGGTGACATGCAGTGAGGAGAGGTGACATGCGGTGAGGAGAGGTGACATGCAGTGAGGAGAGGTGACATGCAGTGAGGAGAGGTGACATGCGGTGAGGAGAGGTGACATGCGGTGAGGAGAGGTGACATGCGGTGAGGAGAGGTGACATGCGGTGAGGAGAGGTGACATGCGGTGAGGAGAGGTGACATGCGGTGAGGAGAGGTGACATGCAGTGAGGAGAGGTGACATGCGGTGAGGAGAGGTGACATGCGGTGAGGAGAGGTGACATGCGGTGAGGAGAGGTGACATGCGGTGAGGAGAGGTGACATGCAGTGAGGAGAGGTGACATGCAGTGAGGAGAGGTGACATGCGGTGAGGAGAGGTGACATGCAGTGAGGAGAGGTGACATGCAGTGAGGAGAGGTGACATGCAGTGAGGAGAGGTGACATGCAGTGAGGAGAGGTGACATGCAGTGAGGAGAGGTGACATGCGGTGAGGAGAGGTGACATGCGGTGAGGAGAGGTGACATGCGGTGAGGAGAGGTGACATGCGGTGAGGAGAGGTGACATGCGGTGAGGAGAGGTGACATGCAGTGAGGAGAGGTGACATGCAGTGAGGAGAGGTGACATGCAGTGAGGAGAGGTGACATGCGGTGAGGAGAGGTGACATGCAGTGAGGAGAGGTGACATGCGGTGAGGAGAGGTGACATGCGGTGAGGAGAGGTGACATGCGGTGAGGAGAGGTGACATGCGGTGAGGAGAGGTGACATGCGGTGAGGAGAGGTGACATGCAGTGAGGAGAGGTGACATGCAGTGAGGAGAGGTGACATGCGGTGAGGAGAGGTGACATGCAGTGAGGAGAGGTGACATGCAGTGAGGAGAGGTGACATGCAGTGAGGAGAGGTGACATGCGGTGAGGAGAGGTGACATGCGGTGAGGAGAGGTGACATGCAGTGAGGAGAGGTGACATGCAGTGAGGAGAGGTGACATGCAGTGAGGAGAGGTGACATGCGGTGAGGAGAGGTGACATGCGGTGAGGAGAGGTGACATGCGGTGAGGAGAGGTGACATGCAGTGAGGAGAGGTGACATGCGGTGAGGAGAGGTGACATGCAGTGAGGAGAGGTGACATGCGGTGAGGAGAGGTGACATGCGGTGAGGAGAGGTGACATGCAGTGAGGAGAGGTGACATGCAGTGAGGAGAGGTGACATGCAGTGAGGAGAGGTGACATGCGGTGAGGAGAGGTGACATGCGGTGAGGAGAGGTGACATGCAGTGAGGAGAGGTGACATGCGGTGAGGAGAGGTGACATGCGGTGAGGAGAGGTGACATGCGGTGAGGAGAGGTGACATGCGGTGAGGAGAGGTGACATGCGGTGAGGAGAGGTGACATGCGGTGAGGAGAGGTGACATGCGGTGAGGAGAGGTGACATGCAGTGAGGAGAGGTGACATGCAGTGAGGAGAGGTGACATGCGGTGAGGAGAGGTGACATGCGGTGAGGAGAGGTGACATGCAGTGAGGAGAGGTGACATGCGGTGAGGAGAGGTGACATGCAGTGAGGAGAGGTGACATGCGGTGAGGAGAGGTGACATGCGGTGAGGAGAGGTGACATGCAGTGAGGAGAGGTGACATGCGGTGAGGAGAGGTGACATGCGGTGAGGAGAGGTGACATGCGGTGAGGAGAGGTGACATGCGGTGAGGAGAGGTGACATGCGGTGAGGAGAGGTGACATGCAGTGAGGAGAGGTGACATGCGGTGAGGAGAGGTGACATGCAGTGAGGAGAGGTGACATGCGGTGAGGAGAGGTGACATGCGGTGAGGAGAGGTGACATGCAGTGAGGAGAGGTGACATGCGGTGAGGAGAGGTGACATGCAGTGAGGAGAGGTGACATGCGGTGAGGAGAGGTGACATGCGGTGAGGAGAGGTGACATGCAGTGAGGAGAGGTGACATGCGGTGAGGAGAGGTGACATGCGGTGAGGAGAGGTGACATGCGGTGAGGAGAGGTGACATGCGGTGAGGAGAGGTGACATGCGGTGAGGAGAGGTGACATGCGGTGAGGAGAGGTGACATGCGGTGAGGAGAGGTGACATGCAGTGAGGAGAGGTGACATGCAGTGAGGAGAGGTGACATGCAGTGAGGAGAGGTGACATGCGGTGAGGAGAGGTGACATGCAGTGAGGAGAGGTGACATGCGGTGAGGAGAGGTGACATGCAGTGAGGAGAGGTGACATGCAGTGAGGAGAGGTGACATGCAGTGAGGAGAGGTGACATGCGGTGAGGAGAGGTGACATGCAGTGAGGAGAGGTGACATGCAGTGAGGAGAGGTGACATGCGGTGAGGAGAGGTGACATGCGGTGAGGAGAGGTGACATGCGGTGAGGAGAGGTGACATGCGGTGAGGAGAGGTGACATGCGGTGAGGAGAGGTGACATGCGGTGAGGAGAGGTGACATGCGGTGAGGAGAGGTGACATGCAGTGAGGAGAGGTGACATGCAGTGAGGAGAGGTGACATGCGGTGAGGAGAGGTGACATGCAGTGAGGAGAGGTGACATGCAGTGAGGAGAGGTGACATGCAGTGAGGAGAGGTGACATGCGGTGAGGAGAGGTGACATGCGGTGAGGAGAGGTGACATGCGGTGAGGAGAGGTGACATGCGGTGAGGAGAGGTGACATGCGGTGAGGAGAGGTGACATGCGGTGAGGAGAGGTGACATGCGGTGAGGAGAGGTGACATGCAGTGAGGAGAGGTGACATGCGGTGAGGAGAGGTGACATGCGGTGAGGAGAGGTGACATGCAGTGAGGAGAGGTGACATGCGGTGAGGAGAGGTGACATGCAGTGAGGAGAGGTGACATGCGGTGAGGAGAGGTGACATGCAGTGAGGAGAGGTGACATGCAGTGAGGAGAGGTGACATGCGGTGAGGAGAGGTGACATGCGGTGAGGAGAGGTGACATGCGCACAAGAACGGTCAGGGCATGGGCATGGGAACGGGCAAGGGCATCGAGTTTAGAAACGTCTGGGAGAACAACCATGAGCAGTGGGAGTGGGCGCCCTGCATGTACACAAAAAAAGGACACCCCCTTTTGCCCCTCGACGTAACCCACTCTACCTTCTCCACTAGAAAGCACGACACCCCCTTCGCCCCCTCCCCATATGTCCATCACCACATATACACATCAGCAGCAGTCCCAGAACGTCTAAACTACCCCATCCCTTCGTCCCATGCCATCCGCACACTCCTACCTACCTTCCCCACCAGGAAGCATGATATCCCCTTGGGCCCCTCCCCGTCTGTGCGCGCCATCACCACATACACATCAGCAGCCGTTGCTCCACTGATGAACGCCTGTGGGATTAGCAGAATGAGGGGGAGACAGGGAGCATGAGGAGGGCGGGAACGGATGGTGAGTAAGGCAAAAGTGTTAGAAGAGAGAGAATTGATACATTGAATAATGAGCCAAGAGGCTCTTTAGTACAAACAATGAGCAAGAGAGAGATGAGAGGGAAGCTTACCCTATTGGCCAATAAGTTGGCCAATGGGTGAGCTTGCTTGTGACCCAAGCAACCACAAATGTGTGTTGGTTGGGATTGGTTGAGCTAAGGACCAATCCCAACCAACCACAAAATGTGGTTGGAGGGTACACTAAGCAACCCCCCAATTTATAAATGTGCTACACTTCTAGCCTATGTATGTTGTATGAAATATGAAATTACAACACAAAATTGGCAATAATCTCTTTTCAAACGGTCCTTTTCTCCCACTTTGTCTATACACCTGTCACGATGTTACGTGTCACTCCGCTAAGATGCTTTCAGTGAACATGTGTCTTTTGTTGGCTGTGAACAAGGATGCGGTGAGTGCCTAGAGTCTTGCACCAAAATTATGCGTGATGGGTACTCTTTGTATTGACAACCTGTCTCTTGTCAAGTTCATTTTCTTTAAGAAGATTCGTCAGTTCCAATAAACTCTGTTCAACACCCCATCCGAACAAAGTGAATCAGAGTTGACGAATCCTTCCGAAGAGAATATGCCTAACAAGAAGTAAGTTCTCAATAAAAAGGATGCGCATCACGCATAATTCACGTGCATATATCTAGGCACGCACCGCATCCTTGTTTACAACCAACATAAAACCCATGTCCACTGAAAGTATCTTAGTGGACTGAGCAACAAGATTGACATGTAACACTGTCGAACAGGAACGGAAGGCGTGATGGGGGAAGGGTTGAGGAAGGGAGGAAGGGAGGGAAGGAGGAAGGGAGAGAGGGAGGGAGGGAGGGAGGGAGGGAGGGAGGGAGGGGGGAGGGCGGGAGGGGGGGAGGGAGGGAGCGAGGGAGGGAGGTACCTTGGATCCATTCAGAATGTAATCTGTAGAGCCGGTGGCCTGCCTCGCCGTCGTCTGTAGTGGAAGGGGATTCAAATAACAAAGCAGGGAACGGATGCTAGTTTTAATATGGTGATCTTGGTGCAAACCAACGCAGGGTAGTACGGCCTTACCAGGGTAAGGCGGAAGGAGGCAGTCACAGAGGTTACAATCGGAGGAAATGCAAGCCTTTGTAACGGCTACGCACAGGCTCATCTTGAGCCAAACGGGGAAATCGAACCAAACGGGGAAATCGAACCAAACGGGGAAATCGAACCAAACGGGGAAATCGAACCAAACGGGGAAATCGAACCAAACGGGGAAATCGAACCGAGACTGTTGCCATGCCATGCCGTGCTGTGCAATTCCATGCCAAGCCATGCTGTGTTGTGCTATCCCATTCCATGCCATCCCATGCCATGCCTTCCCATGCGATGCCATGTCATCCCATACCACGCCATACCATTCCATACCATGCCATGCCATACCGTGCCATACCCATGCCATGCCTGTGCCATGCCCATACCATGCATGTGCCATGTCTGTCCATGACACCCAGTCCCCATCCTCACCTTGAAAGCAGCGGCATCGCTGCCGCTGCCAGGCTCCGTGAGGCAATACGAGGAGAGAGCAGGTCCTGCCCATGGGATGCCATACCGTACCGTACCATACCACACCATGGCATACCATCCGGTCCCCATGTCTCACCTTGAGAGCAGCGGCATCGCTGCCACTGCCAGGCTCCGTGAGGCAATACGAGGAGAGAGCAGGTCCTGCCCATGGGATGCCATACCGTACCGTACCATACCACACCATGGCATACCATCCGGTCCCCATGTCTCACCTTGAGAGCAGCAGCATCGCTGCCACTGCCAGGCTCTGTGAGGCAATACGAGGAGAAGAGGTCCTGCCCATGGGATGATGGTGGAGGGAGGAGGGCAATAGGAGCACCCATATCATGACTGTAGTGTAACAAGAGGAGATTTTTTAGTCGACTAAAAAATTGCGCACAGGATGGTGGTCACGATTTTTTTAGGCGCCTAAATTGTCGTCTCAATAGGAGCACCCATCTAATGATTGCATTATAAGCGTACAAGATGGTGGTAACGAGTGCATCCATATTGGAACAAGCATAAGGGAGTGCGTGTTGGATAGCAGCGCCGCTACCACTGCCAGGTTGTGTGAAGCAATAAGAGGAGATGAAATCCTCGCCATGAGATGGGGGTGGAGAAAGAGTAAGTTGGTGTGACTTTTGAGAATTCTCAAGAGTAACAGGAGCACCTATGTTGGGTCAATTGCATAGGGTGTTGGTGGGGAAGGGCCCATGGGTACGGCGATACAGAGCATTGCGATGCGGTGGAAAGTGGTGCAGTGTGCAACCACTCACCATTGTTGCCAGGGCTGGTAGCCATTTTTGCCGCTGCTCCTCCGATCCGAACCTGATTCGAATGGAATGAGCCAAGCAGGAGAGTGAATTTACTGGGTGAGAGAAGTCGAATAAAATCAAGTCAGACAAAGCAAAGAAGGAACAACATACAGAAACAGGACAACGGGAGGGAGGTGAGTCAGAGAAGTTGGAGTAATCTACCTTTCGCTTTTTCAAACCCACTGCCCATAGCACACGATTACCATCATCATGCCATGTCATCACGCCATCCCTGCCACGTCATCACGCCATCTCTGCCACGTCATCACAACCGTCCCCCACCTGTCGATGATGCTCGCATTCATGTTGTGGATCGTGAGATACGCCGTCGTGCTGACGTCAGCATGCGCCAACGCCTCAAATACCACCGCCCCGTCAGCCCGGCCCAACCTGCTCATGACACGTGGCAGGTGGCAAGAGTGAGGGCAGTGTGCCACGTGGCAAAAATCTCACAGCCGAGCAGCGAGCATGACACGTAAACCCACCACAGCTCAACTCACCCCGACCCTCGTGCAAGCAATCACTCCCAGTGGTCCAAATACCGCTGAACCGACTTTTGAGTCGACTCAAGAGACTTTTGAGGTGCCTGTTGAGTCGACTCGAGAGACTTTTGAGGTGCCTGTTGAGTCGACTCAAGAGACTTTTGAGGTGCCTGTTGAGTCGACTCAAGAGACTTTTGAGGTGCCTGTTGAGTCGACTCAAGAGACTTTTGAGGTGCCTGTTGAGTCGACTCAAGAGACTTTTGAGGTGCCTGTTGAGTCGACTCGAGAGACTTTTGAGGTGCCTGTTGAGTCGACTCAAGAGACTTTTGAGGTGCCTGTTGAGTCGACTCGAGAGACTTTTGAGGTGCCTGTTGAGTCGACTCAAGAGACTTTTGAGGTGCCTGTTGAGTCGACTCGAGAGACTTTTGAGGTGCCTGTTGAGTCGACTCAAGAGACTTTTGAGGTGCCTGTTGAGTCGACTCGAGAGACTTTTGAGGTGCCTGTTGAGTCGACTCAAGAGACTTTTGAGGTGCCTGTTGAGTCGACTCGAGAGACTTTTGAGGTGCCTGTTGAGTCGACTCAAGAGACTTTTGAGGTGCCTGTTGAGTCGACTCAAGAGACTTTTGAGGTGCCTGTTGAGTCGACTCAAGAGACTTTTGAGGTGCCTGTTGAGTCGACTCAAGAGACTTTTGAGGTGCCTGTTGAGTCGACTCAAGAGACTTTTGAGGTGCCTGTTGAGTCGACTCAAGAGACTTTTGAGGTGCCTGTTGAGTCGACTCAAGAGACTTTTGAGGTGCCTGTTGAGTCGACTCAAGAGACTTTTGAGGTGCCTGTTGAGTCGACTCAAGAGACTTTTGAGGTGCCTGTTGAGTCGACTCAAGAGACTTTTGAGGTGTCTGTTGAGTCGACTCAAGAGACTTTTGGTCCAAATACCGTTAAACCGACTCACCCTCGTGCAAGCAATCAACCCCAGTGGTCCAAATACCGTTAAACCGACTCACCCTACCCCCCATGACTTTTGGGTCGACTCAAAGGTAAACTCGCCCCGACCCTGATGCAAGCAATCACTCCCAGTGGTCGAAATACCGCTCACCAGACTCACCCAGACCCCCCCACGTCTTCTCTGACAAAGAGAGCAGCAAAGCCCAGCCCTGCTGCCTTGCGAAGCACGTCCACTGGGAAGTGCTTCTGCGCATCCCACTCTGCTGCACGTGGCAGCAGCTCATTGGCTGCGAAGTCCTGCTCGCAAGGGATGGGGAAAATCGGCGGGGGGGAAGAAAAGAAGGGGGAAGTGGGTGGAATGAGGGGAGGGGGAAGAGAGGCATGGGAGGGGAGAGGCGGTGGAGGCGACGTGTGCCCCCACCATGGACGCGTCGACTGCTCTATCTTGGGTAGAGGAAAACCGCGGACTTCCACTTTCGAATTGGGAGTCTCACCTGTGCCCACCGAGTTTCACCTGATCCCACCGAGTTTCAGCCCACCGAGTTTCACCTGAGCTAAGGCGCGGAACTCGAGCTGGTGGAGCGTGAGGCCGTGCGAGGAGGTGATGGACGCGTGCGCCCCCCCCATGGACGCGTCGACCGCGCCGTCGGGCGGCGACGAGGCTGCCGCGGCGGGCGACGCGGCGAAGGGCGAGAAGGACGTGGCGGAGAAGGCGGAGGAAGGGGAGAAAGGAGAGAAAGCGGAGCAGGAAGCTGGGGAGGGAGAGGAGGAAGCGGAATGATATGAAGCGGCGGACAGTGATGGAGGGATGGATGATGGCGAATGATTGAGGTGGCGTGGCGACAGGCTGCGAAACGCTGGCGACGCTCGTCGCAGGAGCTGAACCAAGGAGCGGCGCGCCATCGAGGGTTGCTTATGCTGCTACCAGCGGTGGGGGTAAGTACCACTCGCTCCTGAATTACCCCTCTTCGGACAGAACGCTGCTGCGGTCACGCTCCTAAATTAGTACTTCTCCTTATTCGAGAAATCCGATATAAAAAAAAATGCGGCTCGAGGGTCACGTAGCAGCACGTAGATTCTAGGCTCTAGTCTCACGCGAGCCACGTGCATGAGCAGCGCGCGTCGCTGGCGAGTTGTTGAAGGAGAAGCTACTACGAGCAACGCGGGACGAGGACTCGTGTCTCGTGACTGGAGAGCTCAGCGCAAGACCAAAATCTAAGAAATGCATCGTGAATTTCGAGAAAATATATTAGCTGGGGTGTGTGTTTGTGTGTGTTCCTAGAGGCTTGGTAGGACTTCTGCCCGAAGCTCCCTGTGTTTGGTCTGACGGAACCGTAGCAAAGGGAAAGTATATCCCAGCTCCATAGTTTCAAAAATCTCTCAAATTTAGTCCTAAGTTCACTCAAAAAGTACAGCTTTCTAGAAGTTTGCTCACGCGAGGTCCAGATTATGTTCAAAACTGGTCCTGCAAGGCAAAATTTTCGACACGTGTCCTATTTCGTATTAGCAATTTCTGACGGGGGCAAAAAACATAAAACCCCTAGGGGAACCAGGACACACGTTCGGGAGAGACCAACCCTAAACACGGGGACCCGCTTGGTGTTTAGGGTTGATCCCTCCCGCAAATGTGCCCTAGTTCCCGAGGGATTTTATTATTTTTTGCCCCGTCGAAAATTTTTCCAAGCGAAATTGGACACGTGACTTCGCCCCGCAGGACCAGTTTTGAACATACTTTGGGCCTCGCGTGAGCGAAATTCTAGAAAGTGGTACTTTTTGAGTCAACCTGGGGCTAAATTTGAGAGAAATCTGAAAGTATGGACCTGGAATATAGTTTCCCCGTAGCAAACGCTCTCTTTTCGGGAAGCAGTTTCAGGCCAATGAAGCATCGTCGCGAAGCAGTCGCGAGAACTACGGGAGGTTTGGTAACGACGTAAGGTGTCGCAGATATTGCCGAACCTGACAGTGTCGCTCTTTTGCTACTGATGACATCACAATGTCACCTGAAGCGTGGATCTGACGCTAACCGCGTCAGATGTTACGTGAACGAGCTAACCAATGGTATGCGAGTTCGATACCCGCAGTCCGATACCCGTACCACAAGTGAAGCATTCAGATAGTGCATAGGAAGTTTTATAAATCCCAATGATTACACGCATATAGAGGTTTTAGAGTTCCTGGTTCGTATTCTCATTCATATTACCATGCACTGCACGCAGCAACCCAAGCCTAGCTCCAGTCCTTGGCGAGAAGCCCCAAATACAAAGCAAGCTGACTGCCCACCAACAGCGTAAGCGGCCCTATCGCCCGTAGCAAGCGAAGAAAAGCAATCTTGGGCGTCAGGTTCGCCCCCTTGGCAATCGTCGCCATTAACCCATCGCCTCCTGATTCACCACCACCACCACCTCCAGATGCTGTAGCACCGTCTCTTGAGACGTCTGTGAATGATCCGATTCGAGGAACGCCGGAGCTGCCACCGGCGTCCATTAACGAATCATGCGATCCCTGTTGCCGGGATGCCCTTAGCTGTGCCCCGCCAGGTCTGAAAATGGAATCAGAAGCAGGAGACAAGATGCATAGAATTTAGTTGATGATCATGCAAGCACAGAGGGGTAAAAAGGACTTCACAGACTGCACCTGGTAGCACCCGATAGCACCTGACGTTTCATTTCTATACGCACAACTGAAGAGGCATGGGAACTCACCTCCTATCGGATGTGACTGAAGAGGGCATGGTGTCTGGAAGTCTCGGAGTCGCCCTCCTTACAAGCACCATGTTGCCATCCGTGTCAAACATGGGCTCTAGGTCGCCCTCCTAATCCCCATCCCACGGCCCACGGCCAACTCACCTCCTATCGGAGGAGATGGAGGAAGGCATGGTGTCTGGCAGTCTGGGAGTCGCCCGCCTGACAAGCACCATGTTGCCATCCGTGTCAAACATGGGCTCCAGCTCCCCCTCCCAATCCCCATCTGCTTTCAGCTTGGGGAGTGTCCACGCCTCTCTGCTCGCTGCTGCCACGCGCGCTGCCAGCACTGCCAGGGACGCCCAGGAGACGCCTCGTGAGGGCAGCAGGAGGAAGGCGAGGCAGGAGAGCAGCGAGAGGAGGAAATACCTGGGGGAGTGGGGGGTGGGGGGAGTGGGAGGGGACGTTTGAGTGAAGCGATGCCCAGGAGACGTGTCTGAAGCTCACAGACTAGAAGCAAAGACACCCCCTCGTTCTTTTCCAAAACCTAGAAGCAAAGAACGAGGAAAACAGAGATTGGGAGAAGCGACATACCTGGAACATCAGTATGGCATACCAGGGAGGGAAGAGGATCTGGGTGGGCAGCACACACAGCTGTACGTGCACTGACGCTGCTCCCAACATCGCTTCTTAGGGGTCTTACAAGTAACGCGGTCTTACCAGGGAGGGAAGAGGATCTGCGTGGGCAGCACACACAGCTGCACGTGCACTGACGCTGCTCCCAACATCGCTTCTTAGGGGTCTTACAAGTAACGCGGTCTTACCAGGGAGGGAAGAGGATCTGCGTGGGCAGCACACACAGCTGGACGTGCACTGACGCTGCTCCCAACATCGCTTTTTAGGGGTCTTACAAGTAACGCGGTCTTACCAGGGAGGGAAGAGGATCTGCGTGGGCAGCACACACAGCTGCACGTGCACTGACGCTGCTCCCAACATCGCTTTTTAGGGGTCTTACAAGTAACGCGGTCTTACCAGGGAGGGAAGAGGATCTGGGTGGGCAGCACACACAGCTGTACGTGCACTGACGCTGCTCCCAACATCGCTTCTTAGGGGTCTTACAAGTAACGCGGTCTTACCAGGGAGGGAAGAGGATCTGCGTGGGCAGCACACACAGCTGCACGTGCACTGACGCTGCTCCCAACATCGCTTTTTAGGGGTCTTACAAGTAACGCGGTCTTACCAGGGAGGGAAGAGGATCTGGGTGGGCAGCACACACAGCTGTACGTGCACTGACGCTGCTCCCAACATCGCTTCTTAGGGGTCTTACAAGTAACGCGGTCTTACCAGGGAGGGAAGAGGATCTGCGTGGGCAGCACACACAGCTGCACGTGCACTGACGCTGCTCCCAACATCGCTTCTTAGGGGTCTTACAAGTAACGCGGTCTTACCAGGGAGGGAAGAGGATCTGCGTGGGCAGCACACACAGCTGGACGTGCACTGACGCTGCTCCCAACATCGCTTTTTAGGGGTCTTACAAGTAACGCGGTCTTACCAGGGAGGGAAGAGGATCTGCGTGGGCAGCACACACAGCTGCACGTGCACTGACGCTGCTCCCAACATCGCTTTCTAGGGGTCTTACAAGTAACGCGGTCTTACCAGGGAGGGAAGAGGATCTGGGTGGGCAGCACACACAGCTGCACGTGCACTGACGCTGCTCCCAACATCGCTTCTTAGGGGTCTTACAAGTAACGCGGTCTTACCAGGGAGGGAAGAGGATCTGCGTGGGCAGCACACACAGCTGTACGTGCACTGACGCTGCTCCCAACATCGCTTCTTAGGGGTCTTACAAGTAACGCGGTCTTACCAGGGAGGGAAGAGGATCTGCGTGGGCAGCACACACAGCTGCACGTGCACTGACGCTGCTCCCAACATCGCTTCTTAGGGGTCTTACAAGTAACGCGGTCTTACCAGGGAGGGAAGAGGATCTGCGTGGGCAGCACACACAGCTGTACGTGCACTGACGCTGCTCCCAACGTTGGTTTCTGCTGCTGCCCCTGCTGCTGGCTGGAGCTTCCGTGAGGGTGGTGGTGGTCGAGGGGAACGGTGATGAGCAGGAATGCAGGCGGGTCGGTGATGGTGTGTGTGCTGTGGATGAAGTTGAAGGTTGGGAGGGAGAGCTGCAGGGACACACAGGGAACAGAGGGATGGAATGTTTGGGAAAGACGGGAAAGAGGAGATGAGAACATGTACTGTCACACACAGTCAGGCGGGTCGGTGATGGCGTGGGTGCTGTGAATGAAGTCGAATGTGTTCTTTGTGGCTTCCATGGTGGTGGTGGTGGAGGGGGACGGTGATGAGCAGGAATGCAGGCGGGTCGGTGATGGCGTGTGTGCTGTGGATGAAGTTGAAGGTTGGGAGAGACAGCTGCACACACACACGCGCGGCAGGGAGGAGTGATTGGAAAACACAGGGAAGAGGAGAAGATTTCATTTGCGGTCGCACACAGGCGGGCGGTTGGGTGATGGTGTGTGTGCTGTGGATGAAGTTGAAGGTTGGGAGCGACAGCTGCACACACACACGCGCGGCAGGGAGGAGTGATTGGAAAACACAGGGAAGAGGAGAAGATTTCATTTGCGGTCGCACACAGGCGGGCGGTTGGGTGATGGTGTGTGTGCTGTGGATGAAGTTGAAGGTTGGGAGAGACAGCTGCACACACACACGCGCGGCAGGGAGGAGTGATTGGAATCACAGGGAAGAGGAGAAGATTTCATTTGCAGTCGCACACAGGCGGGCGGTTGGGTGATGGTGTGTGTGCTGTGGATGAAGTTGAAGGTTGGGAGAGACAGCTGCACACACACAGGGGTGGAGAGGGAGGAGTGATTGGAAGAAGGCAGGGGACACAGTGATTGGGAGGCTACACAGAGGCAGGAGGGTGGGAGATGGCATGTGGCTGTGAATAGAGTTGAAGGTGGGGAGGGGTGGGTGTGCATGTGAAAATTCTACTTTTGCGGCACGCACACACACACACACACACACACACACACACACACAAAAAAAAGGACGACTTTTGAAGTCTAATTCTCGCAAAAGTTTTCTACTTCTGCGGCACAAAAAAAAAATAAAGGCGGCGGCAAGTCACTCCCAGGAACAGCATTGTTCCCTCTGGGCGTTGCCTCTTCCTCCTGCCGCTGCTGCCAGCAGGTTGCCTCTGCATGCCCTGACTGACTGACACCCGAGCTGCTGTTCCCCACCTCCCAACCCACCACACCCTACCCCAAACGCACCTCGACCACGTCCCAAGCAGCAGCACCCGAGCTGCTATTCCCTCTGGGCGTCCCCCCCACCTGCCGCTGCTGCCAGCAGGTTGCCTCTGCATGCCCTGACTGACTGACACCCAAGCTGCTGTTCCCCACCTCCCAACCCACCACACCCTTCCCCAAACGCACCTCGACAACGTCCCAAGCAGCAGCACCCGAGCTGCTGTTCCCCACCTCCCAACCCACCACACCCTACCCCAAACGCACCTCGACCACGTCCCAAGCAGCAGCACCCGAGCTGCTGTTCCCCACCTCCCAACCCACCACACCCTACCCCAAACGCACCTCGACCACGTCCCAAGCAGCAGCACCCGAGCTGCTGTTCCCCACCTCCCAACCCACCACACCCTACCCCAAACGCACCTCGACCACGTCCCAAGCAGCAGCACCCGAGCTGCTGTTCCCCACCTCCCAACCCACCACACCCTACCCCAAACGCACCTCGACCACGTCCCAAGCAGCAGCACCCGAGCTGCTGTTCCCCACCTCCCAACCCACCACACCCTACCCCAAACGCACCTCGACCACGTCCCAAGCAGCAGCACCCGAGCTGCTGTTCCCCACCTCCCAACCCACCACACCCTACCCCAAACGCACCTCGACCACGTCCCAAGCAGCAGCACCCGAGCTGCTGTTCCCTCTGGGCGTCCCCCCCACCTGCCGCTGCTGCCAGCAGGTTGCCTCTGCATGGCCTGACACCACCAGAGCCTGTGGGAATGGGAGAGAGAGAGGGACGCGAGGAGAGAGCGAGTGTGAGGAGAGACTGTATGAGGTGAGGAGAGGGATGGGTCTTCAGACGCCCTCACACCTGCCGCTGCTGCCAGCAGGTTGCCTCTGCATGGCCTCACACCACCAGAGCCTGTGGGGATGGGATGGGAGAGAGGGACGCGAGGAGAGATGGATGGGAAAGGATTATCTTCAGACGCTTTCACTGCCAGTGCTGCCACTGGCCTGACACCACCAGAGTTCTGAGACGTCTCAAAGCTGCCACTGGCCCGACACCACCAGAGGCTCCATTGGGGACAGCAAGAGAGAGGTGCATATTTTCCCCAATGCAGACCCTCCTTGACCCACTGCCACTCCCCCGACCCTCCTGGTTAACTCTATCACCCCATCCCATCCTCACTATGGTCTCATTCTCCCTATCAACGAGGTTACTTGTGAGTTGACTCAAAGTCACCAATGCCGGCCCCCATAGACAACTCCCCCGACCCTCCTGGTTAACTCCATCGCCCCATCCCATCCTCACTATGGTCTCATTCTCCTCCCTATCCCCATCAGCGCATGCACATACCGGTCTCAGCAGCTGAAGCAGGTGGTTGGATCCTTCTTTTGATATCGCATCCTGGTACCTGAAGGGGGGGAAGGGAGAATGAGCATCACTTCGTGTATGAAAGAGGGGACAAGAAGAGTAGCGATCATGTGTGTAGGGAAGGGGGGAGAGAACAGTCAACACTTAGCAGGCACTTTTGGGAATTCTCAAAAGTGATTTCAATATACGACTTTTGAGACGTCTCAAAAGTCGTACACTTTGCAGGCACTTTTGGGAATTCTCATAAGTGATTTCAAAATACCATGTGTGTAGGGGAGAGGGGAGAGAACAGTCAACACTGAGCAGGCAGCAGTAATAAGCGTGAATGAATCGACGTTTGTCAACACTGAGCAGGCATCAGTAATAAGTGTGAATGAGTCCACTTTTGTCAACACTGTGCAGGCATCAGTGGTGAGTGTGAATGAGTGAGTGTGAGTAAGTTGTGAGTGTGTGTGTATAGTGAGGGTGAGAGAGCGAGGGAAGGAGCAAAGGGGAAAGAGGTGACTTTTGAGTCGACTCAAACATCAGTCGACTCAAACGTCAGTCGACTCAAACGTCAGTCGACTCAAACGTCAGTCAAATCAAACGTCACCTCGAGAGGTAGAGAGCTCACCTAACCTCCCCGTCCTTGTCCCAGTCCTGGAGAGCAGAAACAAAGGAGAAAGGGAGCAGGGGAGGGAGGGAGGGGTTGGAACAGGTCGTTTATAAACAGGCAAGGGAACTTGTGAGTCGACTCAAAAATCACATTGGGGATGCAGCACAACATATGTTGCATGCAGGATTGGGTAGGAAGCAGGGAACGGGGGCGCGGCGTGCCACAGTTGTGCCTTGGGCGTTGGCATCACAGGGAAGGTTGGTGGGGGAGTGGAGCGGCAGGTGTAGGAAGAGAGAGGAAATGGGAGAAGAGAGGCGGACGCGGGAGGTTACACACGTCCCCTGACGCCCATTCTCACCACTGCTTGGCCTTGTTGGTTGGCTCCACAGGGGAGGTCGGTGGGGGAGTGGAGCGGCAGGTGTGAAAAGAGGATGAGCGGGAGTGTGGACGTCCGGGCACCTGCAGCAGAGCAACAATGGAGAGAAGAGATGAAGAGATGGCAGAGAGGAACAGAGGATGAGAAGGGAAGAAGAGAAGAAGTGACCAAGAGATGAACAGGTAAGAGGATGAGCGGGAGTGAGGACGCCTGGGCACCTGCAGCAGAGCAACAGCGTAGTGACGAGACGGAAGAGAGGAACACAGGACGAAAGCGAGTGAGGGGGGCTGGGGTCCTGTAGCTGCAGCAGAGAAGAGAAGACGAGAAGAAGAGAAGACGAGAAGTCGAGAAGAAGAGAAGACGAGAAGACGAGAAGAAGAGAAGACGAGAAGAAGAGACGGAAGAGACGGAAGAGAGGAACAGGCACAGCAACAAGAACAGGTAAGACAGCACAGCAAACCATACCATGCTCTGGAAGGCTCTGAAGGGATTCCTCCAGCTGTCGCGTGCTGTTGTTGCGCTGCCGATGCGGCGATGCCCGTCCATGGCCAGGCCATTCACCCCCACCACCCTCACCACCCGCTCTGCCCTCATTGCCTCGCTCACACCCACCAGCCCCACCACACCCACCACCCCCACCACCCTCACCGCCCCCACCTTGACGGAGTGCATGCATGTCGTCTCACCATGGTCCGGCAAGCTTTGAAGGAATTCCTCCAGCTGCTTCGTGCTGTTGTTGCGCTGCCTGTGGCCGTCCATTGCCAAGCCGTTCACCCCCACCACCCTCACCGCCCCCACTTTGTTGTGGAAGTTCAGCGCTCCTACATACCGCTCGAAGCGCACTGCCAGCTGATGGATGGAACGGGCAGGGCAAGAGGCGGAAGGGGAGGAAAAACCACTAAGGGGAGGCCGTTCAGTCACCCCCACCACCCTCACCGCTCCCACCTTGTCGTGGAAGTTCAGCGCTCCAACATACCGCTCAAAGCGCACTGCCAGCTGATGGAATGTGAAGAAGAAAAGAGGCAGAAACAGGGGGCAGAAACGGAGGGTGAGACACTGAGGGAGGCAGATCAGTCACCCCCACCACCCTCACTGCCCCCACCTTGTCGTGGAAGTTCAGCGCCCCAACATACCGCTCAAAACGCACTGCCAGCTGGAAGGTGGCACGCAGCAAAAGGCATGAGAGGAGGGGAAGAAGAGGAGGGTGAGACGCTGAGGGAGGCCGTTCGTTCAACCCCACCACCCGCACCGCGCCCACCACCCGCACCGCGCCCACCACCCTCACTGCCCCCACCTTGTCATGGAAGTTCAGCGCTCCAACTTACCGCTCAAAACGCACTGCCAGCTGATGGGATGAGGGGAGGTCGGGCAAGGAAACAGGCAGAAAGAGTGGAAACAGAAGAGGAGGGTGAGACACAGAGGCGGAGGCCGTTCAGTCACCCCCACCACCCTCACCGCCCCCACCTTGTCCTGGAAGTTCAGCGCTCCAACTTACCGCTCAAAACGTACTGCCAGCTGATGGGATGCCGGGAGGTTGGGCAAGCAGGGAAGAGGCAGAAGAGGAGGGGAATAAAAGGGGGGTGAGACACAGAGGGAGGCCGTTCAGCTATCCCCACCACCCGCACCGCCCCTACCTTGTCGTGGAAGTTCAGCGCCCCCACATACCGCTCAAAGCGCACTGCCAGTTGATGGAACGGGGAGAGAGGCGTAAGAGGTGGGGACGACGAGGAGTTTTAGAAACGTTGTGGAACTTCAGCGCCCCCACATACCGCTCAAAGCGCACTGCCAACTGATAAGCACATGGAACGAGGGGAGGTGAGGCAGGGGAAGAGGCAGAGGTGGGATAGGGAAGAAGAGGAGCAGCAGAAGAGGGGCAGAAGAGGAGGGGGCGGTATACACTTCCTCGTCCTTGTTCACGCCCAACCCGCCTTTCTCTTCCACACACCCACCTCGTGCTGCTGCCTCTGTGTGCTGCTAAACCCCACGTCTCTCTCTCCTGCCACTTGAGCCAAATCCGTCCGCATGTGCACATTCACCCCGCCCTCCCCCGGATGCCACTTCCCCCACCACTCCCAAACGCTCCTCCTCACGCCAGCCGCTCTTTGGCCCCCCTCATTCGCCCCTCCTTGGCCATTCTTTGATTCCCTCTCCTCCCTATCCTCCCTCCCTCTCTCTCGCTCCCTCTTTCGCTCCATCTGCTGCCGTCGCCGCCTCTCCCACGTGTGCGGGTCAAGAAACGGGTCGTGCGTTTGGAACACATGGTGGTAACGACTAGCTTCTGCTCGAAAGCTGGTGTGTTGGGTGGGGGGAGGAAGGGGTGGGCGGAGAGGGGCGGGCACACGGAATGAGCTCTGAGTGAGCCTCTCCCAGCCCATGTGTGCGGGTCGAGAAACGGGTCGTGCGTTTGGAACACATGGTGGTAACGACTAGCTTCTGCTCGGAAGCTGGTGTATGGAGAAGGAAGGGAGGGAGGGGTGGGGGGGAGGGGAAGGGGAGAAGAAGGAGAAGGGGGTGGGGATTGAAGGGAAAGTGGGAGGGAAGATGCGTGTGCTTATCAACAAGACGGTGTAGCGTCTGAAATACGGGGCGGGGCGCTTGGCCGCATGGGCAGCGGGGAGAATGAAGCTCTTTGCAGCACGTGTGACACATGGCACATGGGACATGGCACATGGCACATGGCACATGGCACATGGCACATGGCACATGGCACATGGCACATGGCACATGGCACATGGGACATGGAACAGGTGATTTACAGGGGGTAAGTGGCATCAGCTCCGGACTGGAAGAGGTCCCCGAGCGTGACGACGAGGCTCGGGGAGAACCGGAGCACGGAGGCTCGGAAGGCCCGGCGCAGGTAAAGGTCGTTGCGGAGGCGGGCGGTGATGAACTGCGCGTGCAGGGCGGTGCTTGGGAGGAGCTGGGGGAGGGGGGGAAAGGGAAGGGGGAAAGGGTAAGGCAAGGAAACAGGGGGGGAAGGGCAGGTATAGGTCGTTGCGGAGGCGAGCTGTGATGAACTGCACGTGCAGGGCGGTGCTTGGGAGGAGCTGGGGGGTGCGGGGAAGGGGGGGTGGAGGGGTGTGGGGAGGGTAGGAAGGTGGATTCTGAGCCTGGTAGCAAAATGGTAGAGGCCGTTGCGGAGGCGAGCCGTGATGAACTGGGCGTGCAGGGCGGTGCTTGGGAGGAGCTGTTGTGGGGGAGCAAGCAAGGAGAGGGGGGGGAGACCAGGAAAGAGGTGGAAAAGGGCAGGCGAGGGTCGTTGCGGAGGCGGGCTGTGATGAACTGGGCGTGCAGGGCGGTCCTGGGGAGGAGCTGGGGGGAGCAGGGGGGAGGGGATTGGTGAGGGGGAGTGGGAAGGAGTCAGGAAATCTATTGTCAACAGGAGTTGAGAGGAGTTGAAAGGGGCTGTTGATTGGAAGAGGTTTCAGATCGGAGGAAGGTGAATTGAAAATGGACCAAGCGTTGGGATTGAGAGACACGGTGAGACATCAGTTGTCATGTCAATAACGCGTATGGGTGATTCTAACGCGTGTAGTGTGTATACCATGCAATTCAGTAGCAAGTGATGTGTTACAGCGTATGGAGTGTACTGATAATGTGTAAGGAGTGTAGAGCCTACCTTTGGACTGTTGATGACTGCAAGGGTCTTGTATTCCTTGGGAGGAATGTACTGACCCTGGAATTACAACACGCAAAGAAAATAAATTGCAAAGTTTGCAGAACGTCAGGTTCCAGTTGAATGGATGTCACTTTTGAGTCGACTCAAAAGTAACCTTGTTACAATGGTGGATATGCAACCTGTCACTTTTCTGATTTCCAGTGGATTCACAAGCAAGGGGGTGTGCTTGGATAACAGAAGTAGCCTCTCGAATGAGCACCAGGCGGTTAAGCTTAGAAGCCGCTAAACATGCCGCTTGATCCCCACCACACCACCTGAACATCCACCTGTACGTCCGCCTGAACATTCACCTGAACATCCACCTGACACACGCACTTACCTCAATACCCATCTGGAGCACTCTCTTAGAGCAGCTTGGGCGGCCAAAGCTATAACTGAATCCACTCGCTGTAGAGCCGGCTGACTGCCCCAAACGACGCCGAGCACCGGAACATTCACCGAAACATTCACCTGAATACTCACCTGAACACTCTCGTCCGGCCACGTGGAGCAGCTGGGCGGCCGAAGCCAGAACTGAATCCACTCGCTGTACAGCAAGCTGATAGCCCACACGACGCCCAGCACCGTCGCCAGCACCCATTGCGCCATGGATGCCGACGACGACCTTTCCGCGGTAACGAATCCGCTGTAAGGAGTCCGCTTTTACGACTCCGCTGTAACGAGTCCGCTGTAATGAGCACGTTTTGATGTATCCGCTGTAACGATTCCACTGTAACGGGTCTGCTGTGAACAGCGTTTCCGGAAAGAGTCTACGAATGCAGACGACGGATGAGAGTAACCCTAGAACGATGGGTTTGGATTCCCGGCTCTCGAGCTTTGCCTTGTTATGGGAACTCCCGGAAACAAACAGACAGGCTTCTAGCTATCTAGCGATCTATTCTAAGAACCGTGTGACAGCCATAACGGGACCGAACCGCAACTTCCTACGCACAATGCGTGCTCGCTTCGCTAAACCCGTTGGAATCGGGAAGTCAGAATTGAACAATTTGAACTTGGATGCCAAATTTGATGAATTCATGAAGTTGGGGAGGCGAGGCAACACACGCAGGTTTGTCTGACAACCTTGGGAATATCGAATGTGTCCCATAATATCAAACGCGATTTCAAACTTATCTGACTGCAAATGTGCAAATGATTGAATTTCATTGTACAAATGAGTATTGATCGCTTCTAAGCCCGAAATGCTCTTAAAGCAAGGGTGCACATTCCTGGGGGTGGTTTTTTGGGGCAATGTCTGTGTACACCCTTTGACGGGGTCTGATTCGATAGCGAAATGTTTAGGGTACGGATAGCTGGCGCGAGGGATTCAAACTTGGCTGGCGAACCAAATCAGCTCGTACAGAGATTGGGCAGGGGAATACACCGCGGAACGGCGGAAACGAAGCGTTTGGCGCAACCAAGGAACGGAACCATGTGATAAACATCAAACCGAGTGAAAGCAGACTTGCATCTAGACCACTTAGGTACCACCATTGCATATAAACTTAGGGAACATTCCGCTGTGGACCATGTCCCAATCGATGTGTCCCAATCGTTTCTACCGCACTGCATCGTATTACACCAAATTGCACCCTAGTTTCGAATTTTTCGCGTCTCTGGTTTAGTTCGGTTCGGAGCGGTACACTCGATTGGGACACATCGATTGGGACAGTGTCCACAGCGGAATGTACCCTTAGCGTGCTTTCCCTATCGCCACGACGATTGAGTCCGGAGAGTAGAGTTTCCGGCCCCCGACGCGTACACACAAGCCTCGTCGCATGTTGCTGGCGATATCTTCTGCTAGCTCGCGAAGTCATAAACGGCGATTTAGATCGTTTTCCCGACGTCGCTGCCTTATCGCCGAGTCGTCATGTCGCAACCGCCTCCCCGACTCCCGAGCTTCCCAGCCTCCTCAGCCTCTTGCCTCCACGCTGCTTCGCGCTCCGACCATGCGACCTCCTGTGCCGCCTCGCCTCCTCATCGGCGCATCGCCGCCACATCGCCGCCACCTCGCACTAAGTGTTCCCTAATCCGCTAAACTCGCATCCGTGCTACTGAGCGCCCCCGGCTTTGCGCCTCGTCATCAGCGCATCACAGCAAAATCGCCGCATCGGCCCCTCGCGTTCTCATCGGCGCGCCGCCTCCTCGTCGCCTCCAAGTCGCACTTCCCCTTCCCGCCAGGTCGCACCTCCCCTTTCCCCCACGTCTCACTTCCCCTTCCCCCCAGTTCGCTCCTCCCCTTCCCCCCGGGTCGCTCCTCCCCTTCCCCCCAGGTCGCTCCTCCCCTTCCCCCCAGGTCGCACTTCCCCTTTCCCCCAGGTCGCACTTCCCCTTTCCCCCAGGTCGCACTTCCCCTTCCCCCCAGGTCGCACCTCCCCTTTCCCCACATCTCACTTCCCCTTTCCCCCAGTTCGCTCCTCCCCTTCCCCCCAGGTCGCACTTCCCCTTCCCCCCAGGTCGCACCTCCCCTTTCCCCACATCTCACTTCCCCTTCCCCCCAGTTCGCTCCTCCCCTTCCCCCCAGGTCGCTCCTCCCCTTCTCCCCAGGTCGCACTTCCCCTTTCCCCCACATCTCACTTCCCCTTCCCCCCAGGTCGCTCCTCCCCTTCTCCCCAGGTCGCACTTCCCCTTTCCCCCACATCTCACTTCCCCTTCCCCCTAGGTCGCTCCTCCCCTTCCCCTCCAATCCCTTCTATTCCTTTCGCTTCCCTTCCCTCCCCTTCCCTTCCCTTCTCTTTTTGACGTCCTCCCTTCACTTCCCTTCCCCTCTCCTCCCTTCCCTTTCCTTCCATTTCCTTCCCTTCCTTTTTCCACCCTGCACTTTTACCTTCCTACCCCTCCTATTCCCCACGGTCTTTCAGAACTCGGCCAATCTCGAAGGTCCACGTGGCGAGAAACTGTTGCAACCGTCCGATTCTCTTGATGCATAGGTCAACGGCCACGTGGCTGACTCAGGTTGGCTCATGACCAAATACTAGTTTCTATATGCTCATCTAAGGAGTTACTCAGGTTGACTCCTCACATGTCTGCCATTCTCCAGACCCCAATTGTCTCCTGAACTCCCTGCATTCATATCTTCTGCCTTTCGTGTCTGCCCTGGTGCTCGCCTCCCTGGGTTCATATCTTCTGCCGTCCCTCCCGTCCTCTACCCTCTGCCAGATCTACCTGCCCCAGTTCTCACCTCCATGCGTCTGCATGCTGATTCCGCTCTCTCTGTTCACTTCCTCGCTTGGTCCCCGCCTGTCCTGCTCTACCCTGCCACGTCTACATTGCCTTCCTTAGCCTTCCCCTCCCTCTCCCTGCTTTCCTTCCAAGAGATTCATCACCTAATTCCCTTCCTTCCAGTGTGACTGCATGATAGGTGACCTTCTCTCTCCTCGCTACTGTCACACCCAAGCCTCTCATCCCAAGCCTCTCATTCGAAGCCTCTCATCCTATGCCTCTCATCCCAAGCCTCTCATCCCAAGCCTCTCGTTCGAAGCCTCTGATCCCAAGCCTCTCATCCCAAGCCTCTCATCCCAAGCCTCTCATCCCATGCCTCTCATTCAAAGCCTCTCATCCCATGCCTCTCATCCCAAGCCTCTCATTCGAAGCCTCTGATCCCATGCCTCTCATCCCAAGCCTCTCATCCAAAGCCTCTCATCCCAAGCCTCTCATTCGAAGCCTCTCATCCCATGCCTCTCATCCCAAGCATCTCATCCCAAGCCTCTCATCTCAAGCCTCTCATCCGTCGCCTCTCATCCCAAGCCTCTCATCCCATGCCTCTCATCCCATGCCTCTCATCCCATGCCTCTCATCCCATGCCTTTCATCCCAGTCGCACCAAGCCCTCTCACTTCATCACCTGCCCTCAGCCTAGCCTGCTCTCACACCATACTCTCACATCATCAACTCACCCCCTGCTCTCCTATCTGCTGCGCTGCTTGGGCGTGCCAAGGAGGGGCAAGGGGGCGGCAGCAAGGCAAGCGAGGGAGATGGTGGCATGGGAACTGGCAGTCCAAACCTCCCTTAGCCGCCTGCTCAACGATGGCTGTTTCTGTTGCCCCTCCTGCTGATGCTTCTGCTCCTGGACACGCCTTCACCTACGCCCTTGGGACCTCCTCGCCTCTCTTCTCAACCTCACCAAGCAAGCCACCTCTTTTCCCTCCACTTTTTCTGCAGCTGCGAGCACTGCTGCTTTCACTGCCAGTACTGCTGCTGCTGGCCACTGCAGCATCTGAGAATGCTCAAAAGCAAGAACAATCAAGTACGATTTCATTTCTTTTCAGGCTAATGTGTGCCTCATTGTGCCATCCAATGGCTGATTACCGGTATAACATATTGATACTGTGCTCAAGTTGCTGTTCATGCTGTCATGGTAGCCTCTTGGTTTTGTGTGTAACCCCTTATACAAATCACGCGACAGGATGTAAACATTTTAGAACCATATATTTAGTGTGATGTGAGTACATATAATACGGTATAAGCATGCCATATCAGGATAGGGAGGGAAGCCTTTGCTCCGTTTCGAATCTGCTGATGGCCCCTGTACGCAATGTAGCCTGTCTGGGCCTCTGACATGCTGCGGAGATAGGACAGGGAGTGAGGAGATAGGGCAGGGAGTGAGGAGATAGGACAGGGAGTGAGGAGATAGGACAGGGCGGAGTGAGGAGATAGGACAGGGAGTGAGGAGATAGGGCAGGGAGTGAGGAGATAGGACAGGGCGGAGTGAGGAGATAGGACAGGGCGGAGTGAGGAGATAGGGCAGGGAGTGAGGAGATAGGGCAGGGAGTGAGGAGATAGGACAGGGCGGAGTGAGGAGATAGGACAGGGCGGAGTGAGGAGATAGGACAGGGAGTGAGGAGATAGGACAGGGAGTGAGGAGATAGGACAGGGCGGAGTGAGGAGATAGGACAGGGAGTGAGGAGATAGGGCAGGGAGTGAGGAGATAGGACAGGGCGGAGTGAGGAGATAGGACAGGGAGTGAGGAGATAGGACAGGGAGTGAGGAGATAGGACAGGGAGTGAGGAGATAGGACAGGGAGTGAGGAGATAGGACAGGGAGTGAGGAGATAGGACAGGGAGTGAGGAGATAGGACAGGGAGTGAGGAGATAGGACAGGGAGTGAGGAGATAGGACAGGGAGTGAGGAGATAGGGCAGGGAGTGAGGAGATAGGACAGGGAGTGAGGAGATAGGACAGGGCGGAGTGAGGAGATAGGACAGGGAGTGAGGAGATAGGGCAGGGAGTGAGGAGATAGGACAGGGCGGAGTGAGGAGATAGGACAGGGCGGAGTGAGGAGATAGGACAGGGCGGAGTGAGAAGGTAGGACAGGGCGGAGTGAGGAGGTAGGACAGGGCGGAGTGAGGAGATAGGATAGGGAGTGAGGAGATAGGGCAGGGAGTGAGGAGATAGGACAGGGAATGAGGAGATAGGACAGGTAGTGAGGAGATAGGACAGGGAGTGAGGAGATAGGACAGGGCGGAGTGAGGAGATAGGACAGGGCGGAGTGAGGAGATAGGACAGGGCGGAGTGAGGAGATAGGACAGGGCGGAGTGAGAAGGTAGGACAGGGCGGAGTGAGGAGGTAGGACAGGGCGGAGTGAGGAGATAGGATAGGGAGTGAGGAGATAGGGCAGGGAGTGAGGAGATAGGACAGGGAATGAGGAGATAGGACGGGTAGTGAGGAGATAGGACAGGGAGTGAGGAGATAGGACAGGGAGTGAGGAGATAGGACAGGGAGTGAGGAGATAGGACAGGGCGGAGTGAGGAGATAGGACAGGGAGTGAGGAGATAGGGCAGGGAGTGAGGAGATAGGACAGGGCGGAGTGAGGAGATAGGACAGGGAGTGAGGAGATAGGACAGGGAGTGAGGAGATAGGATAGGGAGTGAGGAGATAGGGCAGGGAGTGAGGAGATAGGACAGGGAGTGAGGAGATAGGACAGGGAGTGAGGAGATAGGACAGGGAGTGAGGAGATAGGACAGGGAGTGAGGAGATAGGACAGGGAGTGAGGAGATAGGACAGGGAGTGAGGAGATAGGACAGGGAGTGAGGAGATAGGACAGGGAGTGAGGAGATAGGACAGGGAGTGAGGAGATAGGGCAGGGAGTGAGGAGATAGGACAGGGCGGAGTGAGGAGATAGGACAGGGAGTGAGGAGATAGGACAGGGAGTGAGGAGATAGGATAGGGAGTGAGGAGATAGGGCAGGGAGTGAGGAGATAGGACAGGGAGTGAGGAGATAGGACAGGGAGTGAGGAGATAGGACAGGGAGTGAGGAGATAGGACAGGGAGTGAGGAGATAGGACAGGGAGTGAGGAGATAGGACAGGGAGTGAGGAGATAGGACAGGGCGGAGTGAGGAGATAGGACAGGGCGGAGTGAGGAGGTAGGACAGGGCGGAGTGAGGAGATAGGATAGGGCGGAGAGGGGGGATAGGACAGGGCAGCGGGGGGACAGGACAGGGCAGGGAGGTGGGATAGGAGAGAGGGGAGTCGGGACAGGACAGGACAGGGAGGGGGGAAAGGGAAGGATGGGGAGAGAGGGCAGGGAGGGGAGAGGGGAGTACGAGAGCGGAGTGGGGAAGAGGAGGGAGCGGGGAGGCGCATGGCGACAGTGGCCCACGGCACTACAGCAGCGAGCTTAGCCAACGAGGGGGGACTCGGGGGGAGTGGGACGCGCGCATGGCATGAATGCACTCCCTCTCCCTCTCACCTCTCCCATTGCATTGCACTGAACTCTAAAGTAGGGGCTGATTAGGGGTGTGAGCAGGGGGAAACAGAATGAGGGACAAACAGAGAGGGAAAGAGGAGTGAGCAGGGGGAAAGAGAGTGAGCAGAGGGAAAGAGAGTGAGCAGGGGGAAAGAGAGTGAGCAGAGGGAAAGAGAGTGAGCAGGGGGAAAGAGAGTGAGCACGGGGGAAAGAGAGTGAGCACGGGAAGGCGAGGGCGACGGGAGGGGGAAGGCGAGGGCGACGGGAGGGGGAAAGCGAGGTCGACGGGAGGTGGAAAGCAAAGGGGGAAAGCGGGGTCGACGGGAGGGGGAAAGCGAGGTCGACGGGAGGGGGAAAGAGGGGTCGACGGGAGGGGGGAAGCGAGGTCGACGGGAGGGGGATGTAGAAGCGGCTCCTTCAGTCCCCCTCGCACCCCCTCCCTCCCCGTCGCTGCTCGCTCCAGCCCGCCATGCGCGCGAGATTGCTCCTTGCTCCCGTCCGCCCCTCCCGTCCTGCTACCTCGCGTCCACGCCTTGCGCTAAACCGCTGCTGCCTCCCTTCCGCGCCTCCCGCGTAATCGCGGCTCACGCCCGCGAAACGGAGCGAAGCAGGGGAAACGGCAAGCATCGAGCGGAACCGCACGAGTGGCAACGCTGAAAGCGGGGTGCGGAAAGCAGGAGCGGAGCAATGAGCTGAAAGCGGGGAGCAGGATGCAGCGAGCAAGCGGATCGCGACGTGCTGGTTGCAACGAGCAACGCCAGTTCTGCGGCGACCGCCGCTGAGTGGGCTGCGACACGCAACGACTAGCGGACAGTCGAGCTTCGAGCTGCGAGCGGAAGGCGACGGCGAAACGCGACGACTATAAGACGATAAATGGCGTCAACACGCCGACGAACGATGACTTGGAAGGCGAGCTATCGGCAAGCGACGAACTGCGACATTTGAACAAGTGGCAATTTATCCGTCCGTTTTGACGGATAGCGTGATGTTCTAAACTGAGTAACGCTTCCTAAGGCTAATTCGCCCGTCATTGGCGGGCCCTCTGCTTATGTGGTTGGGTTGTTGTGGAGTGAGTTTTGGTACACAAACTCCACTGCGCTACTTGCAAGTTCCCAACCCCATTTCCTTCGCGCAACTACTGGCAGGGGGGAACACCTCGTCACTCTCCGCAGGGGTTGGGGCAAAAAATTGTCGCCTCCCACGCCCTACCAAAACCCGGTAACCATCCAGAGGCAAGTGATAAACCTTTGCCTCCACCCCCCCCAAAGTGCACCCTTGCTTTAAACTTTAGGAAAACCACCCCACAACACTAGTCTCTTCTAGCTACCAGGATACTGTTTTAATTGCTAATGACCTAAAATATTTTGCACAAAACTGCCTTTGTCAGAAAAGATTTATTGAATAATACAAAGCCCCTCCACCACTAGCATGGGGGGCAAAGCTTCTACCGAGCAATTTGCTCAGCAAGAAGCAAATAGATAACAGTGAAGCTATTTCACAAATCTACACTATAGCACATCAATCGTAAGTTTCTCGTTCCCGATTCTCGGATGCTTCTCCTTGCTTTTTCTCGGAGCTTACAAGCTACCAAGCAATAGCCATTGGCAGCAGGATTGGGCTAGGTTCGGACGATTTCACCGAGGCTGTGGGCGTAAGTACGGACATTGGGCTTTTACCCAAACCAGCCATCTGTACGAGCAGCTTCTCCGAATCTAATCCCATCAGCTCCGCGATCGTTCGCATCCCATGAGGAACCTCCTGCGGCTCGGCAGCGTCTGTGCTTGGCACCCGAGGAGCAGGTGATGTGAGATCATAGCCAGAGCTTTCGGCGGTGGACGACTGCAGGGAAAGGAGCACGGGGTAGACAGCTGGTCCGGGAAGCGCGGCGCTGGTTGCGGCGGAAGGCGCGGGGAGCGCGGGGAGAGAAGGGCGGAAGAGTGAAGAGACGAGGGAGGACCAGAGGAGAGAGGTATCGACGACGCACACGCACCCGTCCCTGTGGCTGCGCTGCTTCCGGCCCAAACTGTACACTGCGCCGCGCTCGCTGCTGCCTGCGCTGCTCGCGCTGCTCACGCTGCGCCCACTATCAGAGCTGCTGCTACTAGGGAAGAGGCGCATATCGGAACTTCCCGAAGACGAGGAGGAGGAGGTTGAGAGCGACGCGTCAGATGCGCGAACAATCAGCGACTCCTCGAGTTTTGAGGGATTTGCTTTCGGCTCCTCGCTTACGGGATTGCTCAGCGGAATCTCCGTGAACGCGTCGGACCGGCTCGCCTTCTCACCCGCCGCTACCGGCGCCTTCGGTTCGTACTTCTCGTACACGATCGGCGTGGGGAGGTCGTCCCATACTCTGTGCCGCCTCCGGCGCTGCTGCTTCTTCTGCGGCTGCGCGGGCTGCGGCGCCGCTACGCGCTTCGGCGGCTGGTAGAAGTACGGAAGCGGGGAGGGGGATGGCGGAGGCGGGTTGAAGACCGGGATTTGGAGCATGCTGGGGCGCGGGAGTTTCCCGAGGGGCGGGTGCGGGTTGGGCATGGCTTGCTCCTCCTCCTCGTATGATTCGTCGAGAAGATATGAAAGACGCGATGCCCAGTATTGAGCCATTCAAGATCGCTTTGGACCGGCTCTAAATAAGTTAATCGCGACGCTAGCTTGCTTCGAGAGACTCGGCGTTAAGAGATTCGGGTTCGAAGAGCCTCAAAGACCACGACTGCTCCTGAGATGCCTCACAATGCGACTCAACACACAAGAGTATTGAGGGAAATGTGGGGATCTAGGTCGAGTAGGCTCGTCGAGACGGGACAGCAAGATGCAGTACTTGTGTTGCGCAGAGCGTTGTGCCTTCACAACAAGTCTTGGTATGGAACTTTTTTCTTCTCGCTTGAAGGGCAACAGAGGAAGGAGGACGGTGCTAGTCAATGCCTTTGTCTCCTGAAACGGAACGATGGCTTTGTTGGAAAAGTATTTCGTAAAGAATTTATTTGTAGGGTCTAGCAGCAGAACAGGGTACATGCGCCCCCCATTGGCCAACAACGCTCACGTCCTCCAACCCCACACAACCACTGGCGTTTCCCAGGGGGCAATCTCGCGGGCCGACAAATTCGGTTCGGCCTCTGTTGCCACGCCGAGTCGGCCACCAATCAGCGTACCCCCTTGGAGCCATCCGATCTGACCAGGAACATTTGCTTCCACGAGCCGCGCATGCGCTTGACCCCGAACCGCGGGGATGCTGTTCACTGATGCTTTCCAGGAGAGCCTTTCTGCGGCGCGGTTGGATCTGCCAGGGGGGCTCAGGTGGGGACCTGCGTTCTTGGGGGGGCTGTAACAGTGGCACTTGAAGCTGACAGCGGGTACTCGCGGCTCGCTTCAGGTGCCCCCAGGGCCCTGCTGTTAGCCAATGGGTGCTGCTGCTTCGCTCCAAACATTGTGGAAGGTGCCACCCATGAGTGAGGAGGAAATGCCAACTTTTCATGCAGCTGGCCTGCTGGTTTGGGGTAGGTTTTTCATCCACATCCTCGCAGATTCTTGGTGATGACGAGTCGCAGGTAGGTTGACCTTCTTTCGCAATTTCACACAAAACGAAACCGTGAGCGTGTGATTCGGCCATCTGGTTGTCGCAAGCAGGTCCCTGCTTCAGGCAAGAAGCTCGCGAATCAGATTCCCGCATAACCCTAGATTGACGAATTTCAGGGAATTGCGAGCCACCAGGTAACAGCAGACTGGGAATGTAAGTGAAACTACACTTTGGTAGTAAATTAAATCTCTGATTGGAGCTGTGTGTGAAATGTACACAAACCAGCTTTGTGGTTTAGGATGAATAGAAGGTTACACCCAACATTCCCAACCAGCAGTGTCCCACATCTGATGAGATTGCATAGCACCTGCGTTTCTGCTAAACAAGGTGCTAAGCTAACCCTAATCTCCAACTGTTTGAAATCTATGATTCCTGATGACCAATATAGGAATGAAACATCAGTATAAATCAATTTGATTGAGATGCTGCATGTCTGATGCGGCATGCAGGGAAAAATGGTAGCTGTGCAACAGCTGCTGCTGCCACTGTTCCAGTGACCATTTCTGCAGCTGTAACTGCTGCTCTAAGCCCCATCACCTATTGCCGCCTCCTCCCAAGGTTTAGGTCTTCTGTAAACATCCAGGCCTTCTGCTGCTGCCTACCTTCAGCTTACAACCTTCCTTCATCTTGATTTCCTCACTTTCTCTCGCTCTCCTCAGCAGCTTTACCCACTTCTCCGGCTTACCTTCTCCAATGTCACTTCCCTCCTAACTACTACCCTGCAGTTGCATCCACATAGAAACACAACACCTTCCTCCTCTCACACTCAAGAGAAAACATGGGATCATTTTCACCCACCTCTGCAGTGCACTAATTGGGAATGAAACCGTTAGTCACCTCAAACATTCCTGTTCCCCTTTCTCTCCTCCATCCTCCCCTCTGTTTTCCCCCTCGTTTCCTTTCTCTCCCTTCCTCTCCTCCTCTGCCTTCCTCTCCTGCTCCTCGCGCTGCTCCAGCATCAGCTTCCGCCGCTCCACCTGCTGCAGCAGCCCGTCCAGCTCGCTCGACCGCACAGGCTTGGTCAGAAAGTGGTCCATTCCCACCTGTGGTTGGGGTGGAGGTAGGGTGTGGATAGGTAGGAGATGGTACAAAGGGTTTCAGGCTTCCGCCACTCCACCTGCTGCAGCAGCCCGTCCAGCTCACTCGACCGCTCCCGCTTGGTCAGAAAGTGATCCATGCCCACCTGTGGTTGAGGGTTGGGGTAAGGGTGGAGATAGGAGAAAAGGTGTTGGGTTGGGGCTGGGGTGGGGGTAGATAAGAGGTGGGGTTGGAAGGGGGAAGGGGAAAGGGGGAAGGGGGGCTTTCATTGCTCCACCTGCTGCAGCAGCCCGTCCAGCTCGCTCGTCCGCACCGGCTTGGTCAGAAAGTGGTCCATTCCCACCTGTGCCACCTGCGAGTTGAGGGTTGAATGTGCAGGGGAAGAGATGATGAGAAGGATGGGGAATGGGGAGGGGGAGAAAGGGAGGAGGGGGGGAAAGGCAGGAGGGGGATGATGCATGCGCCAACCACCGATCCACTCACCTCGGTGCATCTCAGCCGTTCGTGCATGAGTGCACTTGCTGTCAGAGCCACGATATACGGCCGCTTCCGCTTCGACCCACTCCCCTTCCTCCGCCGCCCCTCCTCCCCATCCCCCTCCCTCTCCTGACCCCCCTTCCCAACCCCCTCTCTCACTTCATCTGCTGCTTTACTCCCCCTACCACCAGCCCCATTCGACTTGTCCTCATCCATGCCTTGACTACTGGGCTTGTCTTTGCCACTGGGCTTGTCTTTATCACTGGGCTTGGCACCAGTACCAGTATCTGCTCCCCCATCTACCGCTTTAGCCCCGCTGCTCCCCTTCCGAACCGACTTGTCTTCATCCATGCATGTGGCACCATGTGTAGCGTCAGCTGCCGCCGAAGCTGTAGTGGCAGCTGTAGCAGCAGCTGTAGCGGCAGCTGTAGCTCCATCTGTAGCGGCGGCTGTAGCGGCGTCGCCAGCAGTTTCCCAGACGGTGGGAAGCTCCCGGATCTTCTGAGTGGCGATGAATCCGTCCATAACCGGCATGTGGCAGTCCTGCGAGGGGCGGGAAGAGGATGGTGGGGGGGGGAAGAAGGAATGGAGGGAAGGGGAGGCGGGATTTGAGCCACCATACATGTCTTATTTTGGATTTTCCGATTGAGTGAGTGTGAGTGAGTTAGCACACACCAACTACCTATGACAACCAGGCCTTGTTATCAAACGCCCTGATTGAAAGAGCATCTGAGGGAGTGAGGGAGTGAGTGAGGGAGTGAGCGAGCGAGTAACCCTACCTACCATGAACACCACGTCGTAGTTCTTTTTGCTACCCCTGAGAGTGAGTGAGTGAGTGAGAGTGAGTGAGGGAGTGAGTGAGGGAGTGAGTGTGGGAGTGAGTGAGAAACACCACCCACCATGAACACCATATCATAGTCTTTCTTCTCGCACGCCCGCAGCGCCTCCTCCCCATTGGAAGCCACATCCGACACCACGCCCAGCCCCCTCAGCATGCGCACCACCACCATCTGGTTCACCTTGCTTGCTGTCCTCCGCTATCAAACACACTCTCAGCTAACAGCCAGTCTTTGAGAGCTCTCATGCATGAGTGAGTGAGGAGTGAGGGATTGAGTGAGGGAGTGAGTGAGGGAGTGAGGGGGTGAGTGAGGGAGTGAGGGGGTGAGTGAGGGAGTGAGTGAGGGAGTGAGGGACTGAGTGAGGGAGTGAGTGTGGGAGTGAATGAGAACCACCACTCACCATGAACACAACATCGTAGTCTTTCTTCTCGCACGCCCGCAGCGCCTCCTCCCCATTGGAAGCCACATCCGACACCACGCCCAGCCCGCGCAGCATGCGCACCACCACCATCTGGTTCACCTTATTATCCTCCGCTATCAAACACGCCAGCCCCTTCCTCCTCCTCTTCCTCTCCTCCTCACACCCCAACCCTAACCCTTCTCCACCCCCCGTGGAAAACCCCGGAGTAGCAGTGGGAGCGGCCGTGGCTGTGGCTGTAGCGGTGGCGGCAGCAGCAGTGCCAGACTTCCCGCTTCGTGATCTGCCTCCGTATGTCCCTGCTCCTGAGGCATCGGCTGACGAACCTGCACACACAGCAGAGGTCAGCAGCAAAATCAGAAGCAGGGGGGAAGAAAAAAACGAGAGATAGAGAGAATAGGGAGCAGTGGATGTGCGGCAGCGATAACATGTGAAGGAGGTAGTTTGAGCGTGACGTGCCTCTGCCTCCCCCTTCCCATGTCCTTGCTCAAGATGCGTCAGTTTCTTACTCGAGTCAGCCCCCACAGCCTATGAACCGACACAGATAGAGAAAGTGAGAAACTGACCCGCCAGTGAGTCCTCTCTGGCCATGAGTTTTGAGACGTTTAAAAAATGCGTCAGTTTCTTAGTCGAGTCAGCCCCCCCAGCCTATGAACTGATACAGATAGAGATAGTTAGAAACCCACCTGCAAGAGAGTCGTCTCGGGCCATGAGCCCGCCGTTGCCAGCCAGCGCACAGAGCTGTGCTGTGGAGACGGGGAGCTGGATGGTGAAGGCGAAGGTGGACCCGGCACCCACTTGGCTGCTGATGTGGATGTCGCCCCCCATGAGGTTCACCAGCGATTTGGAAATCGCCAGGCCCAGCCCCGTGCCCCCGTAGCGACGAGAGGTGGAGGCGTCGCCCTGTTGGAATGGGGTGAGGGAGGGGACGAGGCGGACGGGGGAGCGCAGGGTGGAATGGGGGGTGAGGGACACACAGGCAGGCCCAGCCATGTGCCCCCGTAGCGGCAAGATGTGGAGGCATCGTTTTGAGACGTCTCAAAGCACTACTTCTATCACAGGCAGGCCCGGCAAGATGTGGAGGCATCGCCCGGTGAGTGAGACGTGGGAGGTCAGTGTGTTGGGGGTAGGAAGAGTGAGGCACAACGACACACGCTTCCCTTGACGCACCGAGACATGGAAAGGAAACCCTAACTCGCCCGTACCTGCATGAACGTGCGGAACAGCCCGGAGGGGCACGCCTCTTGACTGATGCCCATGCCAGTATCCACCACACAGAGCCGAAGAGGGGGTGAGAGGAGTGAAGACGTGTACAAATAGTGTATCTTTGTGTGCCCCCTTCACCAAGCCCAGTCGACACCCCCATACATACCTGCATGAACGCGCGGAACAGCCTGGAGCACGCCTCTTGACTGATGCCCATGCCAGTGTCCACCACACAGAACGTTATCCACACCTTCTCCTCCCCATTCTCACCCTTCTCTCCTTTCTCCCCCTTCTCACCCTCCCCCTCCTTCCCCTCCTCCCCCTTCCCCTGCTCCTCCTCCCCCTTCTCTCCTTGCTCAGCCGTAACCCCTCCATTTCTTCTGCTATTCTCTCCCTTCCCAATCTCGCCTCCTTCCCGTCCCTCACCTCCTGCATCTCTCCTATCAACCACACCCCCGCCCTTCTCCTCTCTGTCGCTCTCCCCAAATTCCGCGTCTTCTGAGTCACCCTCCGTCTCCTCCCGTCTCCCTTTCCTCCTCCACTCCTCTCCCCTCCCCTCGCTCCCTCTATCCTCCTCCCCGCTCCCTACCCCTCTCCGCCCGTCCCCCTGTCGCGCCATACACTCCCCTGCTGCCCCTGCTGCTTCTTCCCCCTTCACCCCCGCTGCTGCTCCCCCGTCCCCCCTCTCCCCCGCCCCTGCCCCATGCACGCGCCTGCGTTTCGCGCTAGGTTCCTCCTCTACACTCCCCAAATCAGCCTTCCTGGTAACACCAGCATCCCCCAAACCCTTTCCTCCTCCCGCTCCGCCCGCTGCTGCTGTTGCTACTGCTGCTTCTGCTGCTGCACCTGCTGCAGCTACCGCTGCTCCTACTGCTGCTCCTACTGCTGCTCCTGCTGCTGCTCCTACTGCTGCTCCCGCTGCTGCTCCTGCTGCTGCTTCCGCTGCTGCCCCTCCTGTCTCTCTCTCTCCCTTTGCTCCTCCTCCTCCGCCTCCGCCTCCGTCCTCACCTGCTGCTGCGTCCGCGCCCTCTCCTGCAGCAGCGGCGGCAGTAGCAGCTCTAGTCTTGCGCACGCGCGCGACCTCGTCCTCTGTGGCGCGGCGGATCACGATTTGAATGCCGCCACTGGTGGGAGAAGAGGGGAACGAGAGGAGAGGAGCACCTTTTGAGCAGAGCCGTAAGTTACATTGTCCTCTGGTCTGGTCTCAAGTGGATCCAGTCAGAGCCCACGTCTAAAGGGATGTTGCAGGCACTAACGTTGGGAGTAAGCGCACCTCTAGGTGAACTTAATGGCGTTGGAGACGAGGTTAAGAATTATCTGCCTCAGCCGCCCGAGAGAGAGGCGGAGGCCACTCAACCTTGGCCAAGTTCAAAGCTAACCCACTTGAGCATGAACGGGGGCGGCCAACGCACCTCTGGGTGAACTTGATGGAGTTGGAGACGAGGTTCAGAATGATCTGCCTCAGTCGCCCCGGGTCGCCCCTCACGTAGCGCGGCACGTCCGGAGCCACTCGGCTCTCCAACTGCCAGGTCAGATCACACACAGAGGGAAGGACAAAGAAGGAGAAAGAAGGAGAACACGTCTCGAGACTGAATATACTTTTTTTTTTCCAGACCAAGGGGAAAGCGAGTGCCACCCACCATATGGTGCAGCCCAGTACCAACAACCCAGGCCATATGCCACGCTCTACAGGCCCAGACAGAGGAGCAACCACCACTTCACCCACCACCGCTTAGAACCCATAAACAACCCTTAGAACCCACCAGCAGTCCCTTCTCTGAGGCAGCAACACACAGCAGCGCCGTGGCCTCATTGATGCGCGTCTCCAGGCACAAGGCGACGTTTGTCAGACACAGACAGAGGAGAACCCACCAAATTTCCCACACCACAACTTAGAACCCATATACATCCCTTAGTACCCACCAGCAAACCCTTTTCCGAGGCAGCAACGCAGAGCAGCGCCGTGGCTTCATTGATGCACGTCTCAAGGCAGAATGCGACGCTCTCCAGACCCAGGGATTGCGATTCGATCTTGGAGAGATCCAGCACGTCCGATATGATCCGCAGCAGATTGTCTCCAGAGGACCGGATGATCTCAAGGTATGAGCGCTGCTCCACTGTGAGCGGCGTCCGCAGCAGCAGATCCGCCACTCCCAACACGCCTGCAGGAAAGGTGGGGCGGGTGGGACAGATAAAAAGTACAATCTATGAACAGGGCGCGAATGATCTCGAGGTACAAGCGCTGCTCCGCTGTGAGCGGCGTGCGTAGGAGGAGATCCGCCACTCCCAACACGCCTGGAAGTGGGGTGGGTGGGAGAGGGGAGGGGGTCAGAAGCGAGATTGAGGATGGTGTTATGATCCGCACCGCAGCAGATTGTCTCCGGCGGACAATCCGGTAGGCAATCCGGACCGGATGATCTCGAAATACGAGCGTTGCTCCACACACCTGTGAGCGGCGTGCGTAAAAGGAAATCTGCCACTCCCAACACACCTGCGGTAGGCAAAGGAGGAAAAGGAGTGAAAAGGTTTAGCAACCATGGCCCATCATGGCAT